GGTATTATAGGGATTATATAGGGTTTATATTAGGGTATATAGGGTATTTTGGGGGTATCATAGGGATTATATAGGGTTTATATTAGGGTATATAGGGTCATAAACAGGGATAATGGAAAAGAAAATGGAAACTACCATAACGACTGTCCCAGTTGCGATGCAATGCCCGCCATGCGCACTTGCATTGCTTATTGATGCTTTTCTGTAGCTCCGAAAGCTTCCCTAGCAAAATGCCACTCTGAATTCAATCATCGCCGAGCCACCGTGGAAGTCCCAGCCAGCGCTGCTGGTGCACGATATCCCTGAGGCCCATCGTTCCTTTGAAACTCTGCACAAGGACAGCTACAGAGGCTTCCGACAAGATTCACCAGCAACTGACATCTACTCGAAATGGTGGCAAACTAAATCCCTTGTGCCATGGTTGAGGGTCAGGACGTTTCGCACATTCTGCCAAACAGTAACAAAACTCCGAAGCTCCGCACCGTACAACGGCCTCCCTAGCTTGAACAAAAGCCAGAACCAAACGGCCCTGCAGTGCTGCAAAGGCTCATGTTCACAGGTGGTATCCGGAGGCGCTCCACTGGAGCAATGTTTCCAACCTCACATTCTGCAGGAACACATCAAGTGATTTCGAACCTGGATTCATCACTGCACACCTGTCGCACAGGATCTTGCGGACAAGCGGCGTATGCGCATCCAGGACTGTCCATGCACTCCGTGCGGCCGTCTGGTGAACCATGCAGCATGGACAGCTTCTCAGACAAGGTCATGTTGGCAACCAGCCTCAAAAGATCAGCATTCAAACATGCCCAAAGACCACTGAATGGTCGTCGCTGAACTGTGGAGAAAAATCGCAGACGAGGGGCAACTGCGCTCGCTGGTAAGGCTTGAGAGATTGATCCGACCACGGACCCTGGACAAGTCCAGCAACCTCCGCAAGTGCAATTCGCACTGGGTGCAAGGAAATGCTGAGAAGTGGGGTGGATACCGCTCCGCGGAAACTGGCCACGGCTGGCTACTTACTTTGCGGCCCTAGATTCTGCCTTGCACGCACTACATAGCTTAAAGTCTGGAAGTGCCAGGATCAGAACAAGAATGCTCCACAAGTGAGGCTGCCTCAGCAAAAGCATGGATGAGGCATACACGCGCCAAAGCAGCCATCCATGCCATGATTGCAGATCCGCAAGTCCAGCCAAGCTGACGCAGCGTTTGCTTTGTCCGATTCTGCGATTTGCTTCAATAGCTGGAAAGCAGAAGCTTCACTTGCTCCATGCAGCCAACGCTGGGGTGTTGCTGGACATCAGAGGTTTCTTCAGGGCCAAAGCTGAAGATACATCTACAAAGGGTGAGCAGTTAACATGGGCCAAAGGTACATTTGCAGCCTCAAATAGCAGCGGGGACAAAAGATGCGTTGGACCTTCTACTCCAAAGCATTCACACAGGTAGAAGCAGTACAATCTTACCTCTGACAAAACTGGATCTATAAAAGCCTTTCACAAAATAGGGGGACTCCAATATAGACCCCCAAATACTATAGTCCTTATTATAGGGACCCCCAAAAAGGTACCCCTAATTTTGAGAAACCCTAATCCCTATAATGCCTTATATTATAGACCCAGCTTCCATTTCATTTTCCATGTTCTTTTCCATTTGATTCTCCATTGTAGGGGGATAATATACCCTAAACCCTAAACCCTATAGTAATTTAAGAAACGCCTGGAGAAGGACTCCGTAAGAAAGAATGGCCTGGGCTCCACCAGCTGCTGCCTCATCCTGAGCTGCACTTGAAGGTCAACCTATAGGAGAGTTACATGTAGGAGTTATACAGGGTTTAGGGTTGAGGGTTTAGAGTTTAGGGGGTATATAGGGTTATAGAGGTGTTATATCGGGGTTATGTAAGGGTTAGATAAGGCTATATAGGGGTTATGTGAAGGTTATCTAGGGGTTATATGGGGATTCGAAAATAAGGCCCTAATATACAAAAAGTCCTCCCCCTTGTCGGGGGCCCTGCACACCCTGAACAAAAAGAAGACCGGGCCATATGAGTAGTGTTTTTTGGTGGTTGAACCTAGTACCTAGTAAGATTATATTCCTTATATAAAATACTACACCCCAAAAGGAGGATGTAATCGTACTCTATATCGGGTACCATAGTCTCCCCAAATAAAAAACCACTCAGCTGAGCATAGCCTGTTCTTATGTAACCCCAAAATAACCCCAATAT